ATCTTATTACATGCATTTATTTTACTAATTAATGAACATAATAATGAAACGTTATGTTTTCTAACAGAATATCAGTTTTGACCATTACTTTATAAACTTAGCCTCTTAAAAGTAATTAAAATCAGCATTTGTCCCATTTCTACTCACTTTTAGAAGTTGTTAAATTATAATATCAGGTAAATTATACAAAGCTGAACTAAGCTGAGTTCTAAATATAAACCTCAGATYCTTTGAACAGATCTGACAAAAGTGAAGAAACTTTTTTTTATAAAACGTGTTTGAGTACACTGTAATTGATTAGTTAATCCTAAAATGACATTTCAGATCTTTTGAAATGACTTTGTGAACAATTAGCATCTTACCTGTTTTAGATAGCTCTTTGAACAACCTCAGCTTGTAGAAAAAGAGTTTAAATCGAGTTTAACTAAAGTGAACTGAGCAAACAGTCATTATCAAAGCGTCCACTGCATTCCAGTAAAACATATCCAGTTTATAACGTTTTAAAGCAGCGGTTCTCTTTGGTTTTGGCCKTGATCAGACTAGCCGTTAGCTCGTRGGTCCAGTCAGAATTAACATCTAAACTAAGGTCAAAAAKCATTGCTTTAAGGGTAAAACAAAGTCAATGTTTAATTTATTCACCATTAAATTAAATTCAAAAAGCAGCATGAAACTAGAGTGAGATTTTTTTAACGTTTGTTTGTGCATTTCCATCAATGTTTTAAAATTGAATTGTCTAAAATGTGCAAAAAGCTGATAAATAAAAAACAAATGAATTAAGTTTCATGAAGCTTCTTCCTATTTTTTAAATATCTATTCCCTTTCTTGTCTTCTTTTATCCTTTGTTCTSTTTATTGTTTTGTATCAGCTAAAATCTTTTCATATTTGCCCCTCCCTGTTCAGCCTGTGTTCATCGTCAGTCCTACTGTGCTTCCTAATGTCTTGCTGCAGGTGGGTTTGTGGTCATTGTCTCTCCACGACTTCTGTGGTTTATTTTTTTTCACCCTGGTTGATTTATGTTGTGCCCCAGGTGATGCTGRCTGCTCCACCTGTGACCAGTTTGTTTGATGCTCTATTTGCACACCCACATTTCCTGTCAACACTTATGAACAGAATACTTTGAAGGATGTTTTCAGAAAGTTATTAATGCAATGATGTGTCCTTACCCAGAGCCCAGTGCTTGTCTGTTTGTCTCCAAACTGCGGGAGGGGCTTGACTTTGCAGGAGAGCCTATGCCCACACGGAAAAAAAAAAGACCTTTTTAGAGATAAACTTAAAAACAAGTGCATAAAAATACTGGAGATCAGTAGGCAGAGTGCAGGTAAAGCAGGATGTGTAAACGGGTGAACTAACCAAGCASAGCTTTTCTGGGGGAGCTCTCTGCACTGCCAGGAGCTTTAAGGCTGGTTGCTCCTGCGTCGTGACAAATGGAGACCTGAAGATGGAAAAAGACAATAAAAAAAGATCAACAGAAGAGGAGATTAACACAAACAGAAGGGTGGGGAATAAATAACGCTAATAAAAAAAGAGAGAGAAGGGAGACGTGTAYGGAAAAAGTCAGAGATTAATAAAGAGTGATGTGAAGAACTCGAGCCGCAGAATAATCTGACAGAATCAGCTGACAAACTTTAACCGATTCTAATTCCTCTGCATCTTTTCCTCCATCTACGCTGCAGCGGCTTGTTTTTTTTTTTTTTCCTGCTTTCCTGCCAGTTCTGATCTCAACTTGTTCATCTAATCTGAACTTCTTCCCGCTTCTGTTGAGCTGAATGATGGCATTAGCAACACACGAGCCTGTCATTCAGAGAACAAGACTGTGGCTGATATTACCACACAGGGAGACAGAAAACCCCCACAATCATTTTATTAATAACAGTGAAACAGGAAGCCATTACAGACACATAAACCGGATCTTAATATACACTGGTTATATAAAACAGTAGTGAAATGTGTTCTAATGAGACTAAATACAGCCTGTCTGATTAAAAATCATAATTAGTTGATGTTTTAAGTAAAGCTACATTAACACTGCAGGCAAAAGGGGTCAAAAACTGACCTGTAATCAACCCATATTTTTATAATAGTTTTAACATGACTATTTTATTGTCTAATCCAACCCAGGTCTTTTCTATAAGTGGTACCAAACTGGATACATATCTGATGTTTTTCAAAGCGACTACAGTCTGAACAGTTATGTTGTATTTCATCCAAGTTTACCCGATCAGTCCAGATATTTGTATTATTGACACCAACATTGTGCAATTTAAAGCTAAAGACTCATCTTCAGCTACAAAACAGAAGCGAATAAACCAACATATAGTATGATGCTAACACTAGCATATCAATGAGTTGGGTCTAGTCCTGTCACGTGGATGATAAATTGTCTCAGAAATTATCGTGATAAACAATAATATTGTTTGGAGAACATTTTAAACTAATATAATAAAACACCTCTCCCACCACCAACCCTTTCACACATATGAAGCTTACCAAAATATATAAAATTTATACATGTAAAAAAAATTACAAACTAGCCTGGACTGGAGATTTGGAAAACAACACAGAACAGCAGCTGCTAAAGCTGTAACATCGCTGCCCACCTCTATCCAAGCTGACGCAGTTTATTCTAACGTGTTTTCCTCTGGCTTCATGAAATAATTGTGATTATCTATACGCTGCTTACAAAGTTTATGGAAGTTTACAAAACTTAGGAAATAAAAAAAGAAAAACAACTCTCTGCAAACCCAAGGTTCGGCATGATGCCCTGAAGGCGTCCTGAGGCGCTGCCAGCTCAGAGAAGGCGTTGGAAAACCGAAGACCCTCCTCTATAAATGTCTGTTCATGAGGCTCTCATGCTTCAGAGGTTGCAAGACCACCCATCCATTATCTATACCAGAGATTCTTAACCTATGGGCCYCGAGCGCCACCTTGAGGGCCTCAAAAGAACAACAATTTTAAAGTTTGGGCCGCAGAGGGCCGCGGGACCGCATTGATTTTGAATAAGGTGCAATACACTTTCTCACCACTAGTAGCAGTAGTGCGCCACTCAGTTGTTTAACAACCTTTTTAATATGTAGAAGAAGAACCTTAGAATCCCGCCGAGAATGGAAACTTAGGCTGTGTCCAAAACGACAGGCCGGTCCTCCGGAGGACCCAGACTCCCCGGTCGAGGCGGGCCGGGTCCTTGGTAGACCGYGAAGACCGGAAAAAAAGAGGCTGTGAATTTGGACGGTCTAGCCTCCCCTCCTTACCCCGGCGTACGTCATGTCACCTAGCAACTGTGACGACGCTAAACAAGCAAACTTAAATCAAAATTAGAAAAATATCAATACATTAGCATTATTAATATCACAAAACTTTAAAATTAACTTAAAGGTAACATTTGAAGAACTAATTGACCCGCTGTAGGTGCATGTTTATTTCGCGTTTTTTTTATGACAAAAATAATATTTAAAAACATGTCCATACCAATGATAAAAGTATTAGAATTACAACCGCTAAATTTTTAAAAAATTTAAATCACCATATTTTTTATTTAAAACGTGTTCTTTTCTCTCGCTTCGTCCGCCATTACTAGCATAAAAAAATCTCCGGTCGGGCCGCAATGCATTATGGGATARGCTGGTCCGGGAAGGATCCATCAGACCAGTCCTTCGATTCGGGCCAAAGGAAGGACGTATTTGTCGGCCGCATTGGAGGAGTCTTTGGTTTTGGACGGCCTTCGTCGCGGGGCTGTGACGTATGCGGCCGACAAATTCGGCCTTCGGAGGACCCGGCCTGCCGTTTTGGACACAGTTATTTTAAATGAAAAGTAGAAAGCAAAATGAAGGCAACCTGTCAAAAAAGGCCAAAGTTTGTCACTAATATGAAGTGCAGCCTCTGGTTCTACCAAGCAATACTTTAAAAGTTCAAAACATTGTCAAAAACAGTTGCAGATACAACTATATTTTAATTTGCACTTTATCAAATTATTTTTTGTAGTTTATTTTTAAATATTTTTATGTATTTTAAAMAAACTTTAAACTTGTCAAAAAGTTGTTACTGTTATCGTTTGTCACTAATATGAACAGCAGCTTCTGGTTGCAAAAGTTTAAAATGCTATATTTTCATTTGTACTTTATCAAATTTATTTTACAGTTTTTTTTATTTGAAACATTTACATAAAACATTTTTAATTTCTTTATGCCCACAATTTTATTTATTGAATTGTCTATTTATGTTATTGTTTATGTTAAAATATATATATTTTTGTGCTGATAAGCCTGAGTGGTCTGTTGACTGACCTTTGTATTTGTTCAAATATTTGTTACTGACAGGTTACAATGTAAAAATGTTTGTCATAATCATGTCTTGTGATTATTTGACAGGAGTTTTACTTTTAAAATGTAAGTGTATTTAATTTAGTTACAATGTAAATACAATAAAAATTAAACCAAGATTTAGAATAATTATCATTTTGATCCATACATTGGTAATGTGTGACTGGGCCTCCTGCCACTTTATGTTCAATAAATTGGGCACTGAGGTCAAAAAGTTTAAGAACCCCTGATCTATACCCACTTCTTCCATTCAGAGTCACAGGGGTCACTGGTGCCCATATACAGCAGTCACTGTGAGGGGCGGGGTGCACCCTGGACAGGTTACAGGTCCGTCACAGGGAGAAAAACAACCATTCACAGTCTCACCACAACAGGCCAAATTGGATCATATTGGTACCAGCATAATGGGATCAGTACTTGAGTTGGACACCAGTCATAAGTGTATCTCTGCAATTACTAAAAGCTGAAACACTCCTGCTAATCCAAATATGTTTCTATAAGAAACAAACATCTTTGTGAGTGTTATTACAAACCTCTCCCTCTGCAGAACTGATGGCGTCTCGAGTAACTTCTGTGTAGCCTTTCATCCTGCTGGGTGAGTGATGAGCTCCTTCTCTACTGTCTGCAGCCACAAAGAAACAAACCAGAACAGTGAGTAAGACACAACTCTCATCAAAATCACTTGACTGTCAGTTATAAGCACATCWTCTTCTGTTACAGATGGATCATTAAGAGGCACTTGACCTGCACCYTGTCATCATCTGTTCAGTTAATGCCCCCCCAAAAATATACTTACACTATAATTAAAAACACGTCCAATTACCCCTGTCTGCTAATTCTCCAAGCGCTCAAAAAGATGCTGATGATACAAACGTTGAATCGCCTAAACTTAAGAAAAAGAAARTATCAGCAGATTCTTTCCTCTTCTCCCACATGCCTTCGTTTCCTTGTATTTTATTCCAGCTGTATCGCTCAGCTTCTCCCTCCCCYTTTGTTTTTAATATTGCATAATGGAACCGCATCATCCAAACCGGGGCAGGTCCAATCACTCTAACGCCATTAGACARGGCCCTCCTTTGAGCATGCTCCGTTCTGACAGACGGGAGCAGCYAAAGGAAAGTCTGCGGAGCTTAAAACCGGCGCGGCCGGACAGATGTGCCTGAAATGGATTACACGTTTGCAGAAGTTTTAAAAAGAGATTGAGGTCAGGGGTACAAGTGCGTGTTGAGGTTAAGGCGGTGGATCGGAGGAGGATTTGGGATGTGCATTTCAACTGGCTGGAGTGTCTGCAGAGCACCAAGTGTGWATATGTGCATGTTTACAGGACAGAGCAAAACTCAGATACTTTTAAATCTGACACACGGGACAGATGGAGTCAGAAGGCTGCAAAGAATGTCTTAAAATGCATCCAGTAGTTCATGAGATTTTTTTTCTGTTTTGCTWGCAGACAGATAAGCAGGTAATGGTGACACAGAAGATTAAGTGAGAGATCAAGATCAGATCAAGACCCTACCACAACAGATTTTAGCTTAATATCTGTAAAATCTGTTGAGTTATAGCTATTTTTGCATGTGTGACCTCATGTAGGTAGCATGTTTGTTTTTTTGTTTTTGTAAAACAAGGGGGAAATGGGGATAGAGACCTCCACTTTAATACCAAACTTCAAAAATCTGTGGTGTCAGAGAAAACAGCTGCTGCAGAAACACTGCACTGTGTAAACAGGACCTCAGAGCCTGGGTTGTGAATTACTCTCAGACACTACCACACCACATTTCAGCCCGCTATCTTTAAAACTGGCTMAGTTACAGTCATTTTATGAACGGTTTTATTGAATTCTCAACCTAGAGCAAAGTTTATTTTAAACTTGTGTAAAAGTTCTGAATCAAATGTGAATTTCCTGCAATCAAAACAAGCAACAAACCAACCCCAAAATTCAATTCAATTCAAAAAATACTTTATTGATCCCAGAGGGAAATTAGGTAAAAAGAAGACCTGCAAGAAGCAAGTTGATGCAATCTAAAGCAACTGCTGACAAAAACACATCATTATGTTTTGAGCCTTTATATAAAGTTTTAAGATCTGCTTAAAGCCGCAGTGAGTTCGTCTGAGAAAACCGTGGACTGATATCAACCTAATGTCGCAATTTCAAGRCGGGAAGTCGGTGCAACYCGACCATACCCGAGCACACATGACGTCATCATTTCAACATGCACCTCYTATCTACAGAGTGAAACTCTTACAGTTTTTACCACTTCTGTGTTGTTTACTTTACATCAAGTCAGTCATACTTGTAGTAATTCATTGCAATTATTAGGSYATATYTTTTAACTGCTGCTGAGCTAWTGTTGCATTATTCCACCAGAGCAAGAAACATTTTTTTCCCAATGTTCTGACAAGCTGGAAACTGGAACGCTTTTACCTCAGAGTCATAGTACGTGCTCTGCGGGGAAAGGGCCAATCAGGTTGCCTGGCTCTGATTGGTTATTTCTGACTGCAAACGGCAGCAGGACCACTGGGAGGAGCCAGAAGAGCTTTAGTTTTTCACAGATTGTCTGTCTCATATTCTACTGTCAGGACATAGTGTGTGGATAGGATTATCCTACACCATTATTAAATCTGWCAGCGAATTCCAAAAGAACATTTCAAACCATACAAAATAACACCAAAATCATGTGATTATCTCAAGTATGAGGGAAGTTATTGYTGTTTGTTTAGGTGAAATCAGCTCGTTTTCTTGCTGCAGTTCACAGCAGAACKCATTTCACCTTGTTCTTGTCTATTTTTYCTCWTAACTTCCTCAGTGTTCAAGATATCACCATGAAATTTTAGGAAAATATTCACATTCTGGTTTTTGTAGGAAGCATCTTGAATCCTAAAAAACTAATAAAACTTAATAATAGCCAATTCAAAAGTAGCAGAAAAGGTATAAAATAATATTACAAGACAAACTGCAGCATCAAACCAACTTAACGTGTCTTAGAAKYTAAGGYAATTAAAACAATTTAAAAACCATGTGGACATCTGTTTTGTAAACAAAGCTCCTCAACCAATGACAGCGTGTTAAATGTGTCGAGTGACAAAGACCAGCGTCAACACACTTTGCTAACAAGCGCTATTCTGGATTAAAAAAAAACYTACTTCGACGTTTCAAATCATTATCAAATTTGGAACAAAGGCAGATAAAATAATGTTCTTTATGGCAGCGTATCTATTTAAGGGGTCACTAGAAAAACTCAGGTGATTTAKTTTGATCCTCTTTTCAAAAAATTGTCTCTTCAACAAAATCAACAAAAATTAAAACTTGAAGACGAGGCTGTAGCTAACTACCTGACGTCAGTACGCTTTGTTGAAATTCCTAGAAATTACGAAGCAGGAGGAAATTACAAGCAAACGCACCGAGCAGCCTTGCAGAATCTGGTCACAGCAGTTTGTGAAGAAAATGGCAGCAGCTGCTGACGAAATGTCAACATCCCTACATAGTGACKGTTTTAACAAATGTGTAAAAATTTTCATAAAAGTTACCTACTGCAGCTTTAATTTGAGAAAATCCAAAAAAAAAATAAACCCTGAATTTTGCATTAAATTATTCATGTTTTAAATCTGCATTCTGCCCTTATTCAAATAAATTAATGAGACTTGAAAAATGCCATGACATTTATAATCAAGAAGAGTGGGGAGGAAAAAAAAACTTCCCAACCGAAACGCGTAATGATTGCTGTGATCRGCGAACAAAAAGCGCAGCCAAATGCAAAGCAAAAAGAAAAGAAGRGCAGCAGTGAGGGGTCCTGAAGAGACCCTGAAAAACACACCTTCAGATTTTGCTGCAGCTCTGCCGGGGCTGTGCTGCTGAGTGCTGAGCCTCTCGGAGCTGCTGCTGTTGTTGTTGTTGTTGACCTGGATGCCATTCTGCTTCATCAGCTGCAACAACTCGGATTCTAATGCTGCAATCTGCCGGAGAGGAACCAATCAACGTTAATGAGCTGTAGGCACTTACCTGTCAAAACAGCTGCTTTAAAGCACCGAAATAAACGACACAACTAAAAGATCATCATTCAAGTTTTGCCTGGGCTTGACAATACTTGCAGAGGCTGGGCCAAGCAAGCAAGCATTAAAACACAAGTATTAGAGCTTCCAGTAGGGCTGTAATATATCAAAGCAGAGCTCTCCATCAGCTGTCCAATTACACAAARGATCACACAATCTGACAATGTTCTGACAATTTTTGATCAGGGTTATTTATCTCAGTCATTCTCACACATTCTGCATGGTTGAAGCTGCGTTTAAGAGGTAAAAATGTGAGCAGTCATGATGAAGAGTATAAGAGTGAAAAAAAAAGTGATATTACCCTGACTTGCAGTCCCTGGATTTCAGCCAGGTGAGCTTTCTCAGCCTCCTCCAGCCGCCTCCTCTCTGCATCCTCCTTCTGGATGAACTCCACCTCTCTGGGGAGAGAGAGAGAAAAAAAGAAATAAAAAAGGAGAAGGTGTGAATTGCAATGTGCCGAGCGTCTATGTGTTGATGCAGAAAAACCTTCGCAATATATACAGTTTCATGCTCGATGTGGTTATTATTCGTCTCTGTCGATGGTGACAAACAAACTCATCCAGCAATTATCTCAGCCCTTTTTCTGCTTATTTCTCCTCTTCTTTCTGAACTCACTACCACTTCTCTGCAGCTCTGTCCTCAGCTACAGCTACGCACAGAGGATCCGTTTCATCAGTTTGTTTCCATTTGGCCTGCAGGGGCCGAGCAAATTAGAGTCCATCAGACTGGCGCTGAGAAGTAGAGGTTCTGACGGGACTGACCAAAGGAATTACTGTACAAAAATAGGAATGCTGAACTGCATTAGACCGGAAACGTAGTTCTTATTGTTGAAATGGGATACAACTCAGAAAGATAGTAAACAAGTTTGAACAGAATTACACTTTATTAGGATTTGTTTTTGACTAAATGTTTTCCGTTTTACATTAGTTTGGCTTTCACGCCGTCTTTTGAGAGATTTCTTGATGACATCAGTACCAGAAGACCAAGTTGAACCCAAGTGAAAAGTCTTCACCTCACCTTCTCCTTCCACGTAAGAGAAACTACAAATCACGCTAAAAACACATCTGAGCATCATGACATTAAAGTCAAAACGTCTCATGGGCATAGGGGGAACTTTTATTTTTTAAGGGTTTGTTGCATATTTGTCTTATGCTTACAAATATTAGAAAATATACAGGCATGGTTGTATAAAATGTATGACACTATTTCATGCGTTTTAATGCATGGTGGTGAAGCAAAAACATATTTACAAATGAATAATACAGTATATCTGTTAAAGGGGGGGTATTATATATTCATACTTTTATTCTATACCATAATCAAGTAACTATGTTACCTTCAGTTGTTATGAAAATGCTGTATCAAAAAATCAAAACACCTTGAAATTGGCCTCTTTCTCTTTAAGAATCTACCATTTCAGACATTCCCACTTCAGTTTGTTTTCACAAAAAATGCTTCAGGGTAATGGTGCTCTGTGGGGCTGACTGCGCTCCAGGGAGGAGCTTTGTGTAAATAGGCAGAGCTTTGTATGTTTTTGATGAGGGAATGACATAACATGATATAAAGCCCTTAAAAGTCCGTGCTAACAAAACAACCAATACTGTCAAGTAACGCTAGCTTTTATTTTTCATAGTTTCACATGATTTTATTTTATTTTTTATTATTCTTTTGTATCTTCATATAATTTCTATTATTCTGGGCTTAAAATAAAGTTTATTTAGACTAATATTAGATTATGAAATGACTTCTTCTCTACTGGATTCGATTATAATGAATTCTGACTTGAATAAACATAAAAAATGAACAGTTTTGTTGGGATAAGACTTGATTTCTGTGATCTGCTTTTTCCAATATACTGAACTCAGGATCACTCACTTCTGCTGGAAGTCTTTGATGAGTTTCTTGGCCTTGTTGTACTTCTTCTCCAGAGTCTGGTACTGGGCCTGGGCCTCCTTCAGGTGTTCGTTGACGGTGTGGCAGAGGGTCTGCGCTTCGATCCAGTAGCTCTCCAGCTTCAGCATCCTCTCCTTGTTCTCCTCTATGCTGGCCTTCAGCTGGCTCTTCTCCTTCTCCCAGCGCTGCTTCTCCTTCTCTACCGAGGCCAACTGCAAGCACGCAGAAGCATCGCCACTTGAGGAGTTTCGTTTATAATTCACGAGATTATGCAGTTTACATAAAGGTTTGTGATAAAAATGTCCAGATTCCACACAAAATCTAATAATAAAATATTCAACTCTTCATCGACAGCCGCTACTAAAACATAAGTGAGCCACAAATTGCCGTTTCACAGKAAAATCTGAGTGTTTCCACTTCATTTTCATGGTAACGTGAAACCATCATTACCCTTTAATAGGCTTTCTAGGCACCACTTGATTCAATCATTTTGACTTCCACCTCATTAATTTGGAAAATAATGAAATTAGACCAAAAAAAAATTTGTGGATTGTGGTTAAGGGAGGAGATTTGAATCCCAAAATGCTGAGGTGACTGGAAAGACAGCAAGAAAGATGGAGATTTTGCATAAAAGCAAATTTAGACTGAACTTAAATAAATACAATAAACTTAACTATTAATTTCCATCAAGCTGCTCTCTGAACTGCGACCAACTTCTGCATTTGTTCCCATGTTCGGCCTCTTACCTTGTTTTTGAGCTTCTGGATCTCGGCCTCGGTCACCGTGTGTTTTATCTGAAGCTGAAACAGAGATGGGCGAAAGTGAAAACGGGGGAGAGGAAAGAGGGCGGTCAGATGATCGAAATGCACGACTGCGCAGGCTCTCCGCCGTCAATACAGCGTGAGTGACGGAGGCAGCCGACCCCGTCCGCCCTTTCACTGCATCCCGGCTCTCGCTCTGACATTTACTCTCCGATGAGAGAGAGAGAGAGAGATGGGGAGCAAAGTGATGCAATGAAAGATGAGCGGAAAGTCAATCAAAAGTGTGAAGCCTAAAAGCTTGGTGCATTTTTTAATAAATGAAACACAAAACATGCCTGTTTTAATCTTATGTAATAAAAACTGATAAAATATAGATATTTATCATATTTGAGGGATAGAAAGTTACAGATTTTAAGTTTAAATGAGACACTGAGGAGAGGACGGGGGATGGGGGGTTATGTAATGACAGAGCAGAAAAAAGTAGGGGAAGGGATTGGAGTTGATAAAACAGCATAGATACATCTAGCTCTAAATCAATTTAAATCCAAATTAAAAACACTAAACTATTTCAGGTTATAAACACAAACCAGGTTTTAAACCTGTGTTTTGACTCAGTTTTCCCTGCAGTGTCTGAAAGGCTGCTGAAAGCCTTTGTGTAAGGTAAAGCAGGCCTCAGAGTAACGGTGGCGGAGCGATCAATCACCGTTACCAGCCGCTCGGCAGCCTAAAACGAACAACTGAGCTACCAGACAGTAAATTAATGCTTCGTTTTATTGCTGCAGCTTTACGAGTTCAGCTCATATTTTAGACACGGCAGCAAAGGTTTAACAAAATTGGCCTCTTCTATCAGAAACAAAATGATTACAGAGCCAAGATTATGATACACTCTGGTGTAAAGTCCAGCAGAACGAGGTTAGGCAGTGTAATAAATAACTTCTGTCCTCATGTCTCTGATGACTCATTAAGAATTAAAGATGGCTTTTGGTTCTTGAAAGAAGAGCACAACTAGCTTTGGTGTCTGAAGTTAAATTTAATCACATTTTCTCCATAGTGATATAATATACTGTGTATGATTAGTGATTTAATGGCACAGCACATATGCACTTAAAGGTTTTGATACTTTCACTGTAAAAGTATCAATACAACGGCTAAGATATTTCAGCTGCTGAGTGAGGAAACATTTTGCAGTTTACTCTTACAAGCACTGAAAGATGTCTTCCACTGATCCCTCGGAAAGAATTAAAGTAGTTCGACTTTACCTCTCTAAACTTCTGGTAGAGTTTAGTGGCGTCCAACTCGGATGGAGACAAGATGTCTTCCGTCTCTGGGAGGTCGAACACCTCGATGCTCTTCTCGCCGCCTGCAGTCGTTCCCGTTTCTTCGTCGTCTGTGGCGTACTCGCCAGTCTGCTTCGAGGGAAAATATCAGAGAGTCATTCGTATCATCTGCAAACAGTGCAATATAAACATGCGAGTGGGATTTATAAAGGAGCATTGTAAGGTTTTATGACACCTTCTTTTAGCTGGTGTTGCTTCAGAATTCCCTCAAGGCTCTGTGCTGATCTTTGGGTTCACCGATTGATGCTTTTTTTAAAACCTTGAGTAAATTTTGTAAACTTCGTAAGCGGCGTGTGGGTGACTGTAAATATTTTATGAAGCCAGAGGAAGAAATCTGTGTATGGTTTGTTCTTTTGTTTTCTGTTTCAAAATAAAACAAATATTCTAGTGGGTTTTTTTTTTGTGTTTAAACTAAATTAGAAAAACAACAATTGAAAAAGGCTATGATTTG